TGGAGTCCCCTGGGAAAAGGTTTTCCCCCCCCCCCCCCACAATTAACTGTTTGCAGCGGTAGGTTCGGGGGCTGGATCAGACCCTCCCTGTCTCAGGGCAGGAGCTGACGCTGCCTAGGCAGAGGCATCCTCTGTGGGCGCTTCTTCTGTCCTGGTCCACATCCATGTTTCTTGCCCCGGCCTTGAGCGGGTGGTGCTGAGCCACTTTGGTGCTGGTGGTTGAGGCTGAATTCTTTTTCTTGTGGCTGTTCATGCGTGTGCATGTGGACACGTGCGTGCATATGCATGTGCATTTGTGTATGCGCATGAATGTGTGCATGTGTATGCTTAGGAGTGTGTGTGTGTGTGTGTGTGTGCGTGCTGATGTGCTTGTTTGTATGTGCATGTGTACGCATGGGTGCATGCGTGCGCATGCATATGCATGTGTGTATGTATGTGTGTGCATACTTGTGTGTGTGCATGTGCATACATGGGAGTTTGCACAGGTGCATGCGTATGCATGTGTATCTGTGCGCGCACGCACGCGTGTGTATACAAAGGGGGGTGTGTGCATGCATGCGTGTGTGCACACTCTGCCCCGGGGTTTTGTTCCGAGTTCATTGCTGCCCGTGAGCGAGACGTGACTCAGCAGAGGGCTCCTCTGTCAAACGCGCTGCACCGATGACACGCGGATAACGACCGCTGCGTCCCCTCCGTGCTCGGCGACTCCCGGGAGACCTGTTGGCTCCGGAGTCCGGATGCCCGACGCAAGTGACTCATCTCTGCCCCGTCGTTCCTGGGGGGGGCTCTGGTGACAGCAGCTGGCCAAGAGCTGGGCTCTGGGCATGGCTGCTGCACATGCTGGCAGCCCGGGCAGGAGGGTGGTGATGGGTCACCGATGTGCCTGCCCCATGTCCAGAAGAGCCCGCAGCAGGATCCTGGGGTCGGGGGGGATGGACTTAACCAGGGGCGGGTGATGCCGATGCTGACGGGGATCCTGGGAGAACACAACCAGCTGCATTGACTGAGTCTGGCCTTTGAAACGAGTAGCAAAACTAGGATTGATCTTGGGAGGATCAGGATAAGACCCTGTATATACAAAGCGGCTGAAAGGCAGCCACCTCTGGGGGGGAGCAGGGCAGCAACCAAGGGGTTGAGTGACTTGGGGATCTCCCTCCCCGTGCTCCCAGGACTGCCAGCAGGCCCCAGCAGACGGAGACCTCCCCTCCTGCAAGCGCAGAGGCATTACCGGTCAGCAGCTCAGCATCACTGGACCTGCCTGGGAGAGGCTCTGCAGCTTGCCCCGGCCCATAGCAGGGAGAAGGGCCTGTGAAGCCCGGCTCTGTCCTCTGCCTCTAGCCCAAGAGGGAGGCTTGGCACAAGGGTCCTGGAGTGGCAGCTGTTGGGGAGTAGCAGGGAGGCAGAGAAGCCCCAAGGGCACGTATGCTCCGAATTTTGTAAGCTCTCTTTCACATAGTCCCGTGAAGCCGAGGTTACCTGGACCGGAGTCAAGACTAGCTGAGACCCACCGAAGTGCCGGGCCCTGGCACGCCGACGTGGAGGGGCTGAACACGAACGTGAGCCCAGGGGCCTGGTGCAGGAGGCAGCGCCTCCTTTGGCCTCTGGCGCACTGCTCCCCACCTGACAGGGACCATCACGATCCTTTGATGACCTGTGTTCGTTCCCATGGTCCTTTTTTGGCTGCCTTGGCTGTTGCCAGCCAGCCCCTCCCAGGCACGAGAGCATTTGCTTTCAGAAGACCCCTGTGAGCTGGGGATGGGCCATCGCCCTCATTTTAGGGGTGGGGAAACTGAGGCACGGAGCAGTCAGTGGCTTCCTGAAGGGAATAGGTATTGCACTGGGGTTGGGGACACTCACGTGGCTTGCAAGGCTTCCCTCCCAGTTCCCCGCAGCACAAAGCCCCCAGCTAGAGATCTTGGTGCCAGGGCTGAGGATGGAGGAGGTCACAAGAGACCCCCCCAGAGCAAAGGGTTGCAGGCTGTGAGCCCGGCACTGCTGCTGTCACCTCCCTGCCCTGGCCCTGGCTGCAACGCAGGCTGGGCCGGAGCACGGACCTGGGTCCCTCCAGGGCTGGGGTGGGGAGGCTGATCCTGCAGCTGGTTTGTGACCCTGGCAGAGGGGAAGACCGTGGGCTGCCACCACCCTGCTGCAGGCAGCGCCGCCTGCATGCCCGTCGGGTGAGTGATCCATCTCGGACCAGGCGCAGGAGCCCCGTGACATGCTGGGACTGGACGGGAGTCCAGGGGCTGAGCCTGCTGCTGGCTCCAGGGGGGCTGCATCGTGGGCCCCAAGCTGGGCACCCCCGTTCGGCCGCAGAGGTCCTGCAGCTTGGGGATGGGGGGAGTCAGGAGTCGCGGCAGAGTATTAGCGCAGCTGGGTCCTGGGAGCGCGGCCCAGGGGAGCTAGGAGCAGGTCGGTGAGAGATCAACATGCCGAGCTTTACAGGAGGAGAGAAAGGGGGTGGCGAGAGGCACTACCCTGCGGAGGGGGGTGCCTGGGGTTAAAGCTCTGGGCCAGGACTCAGGAGACCGGGCTCTCCTCTCCCAGCCCCTGCAGCATCTGCTCTGCCCCCTGGGCGCAGCGGCCTGGCTGTCCCCCTCAGGGTAAGCCCCTGCGCTTGGCAGAGGCTCAGACTGAGAGTGACACCCTGGGGTCCCATTGCAGGAGGACCAGGAGCAGCGCAGATGCCCCTTGCCAGGCCCTGCCCAGAAAGAGAAGCAGCAGCTCTGCCCCTTGCAGCCCCGAGCCGCCTCATCGCAGTCGGGGGCGAGACTCCTGGGTTCCCTTCCTGACCCGTGCGGGAAGGCGAAGTGCCCTGAGCAGGGCGCTGGGTACGACAGGCGGGGAAGTGTAGACGGAAGAGGGGCTGGTGCTGGAAGGACTGGGTGCTTCTGGAGCTCCCGAAGTCCCTTCCCTTTCCCACGCCCTGGAAATCCAATTTGCAGATACAAGATTTGCCTTTCACCAAGCACGGCGTTAGCCTAACCATCGGGGAGGAGCACAGGGCCGTGGCTGGGGGCCTTGCATGCCCATGGGCTGCTCCAGCCCTGGGATCGGGGTGGCAAGGGGGCTCCGATGCTGCGTGAACCCGCGTGGTGCCACAGCCTGTTAAGAAAGTTGCTGCGATGCCGTTGCAAAGGGGCGGCCTCCGGAGGGGTTGCCCGCAGGTCACTGAGAGCGATGTGCAGCCCGTTCGGCAGGCAGTGAAGAACTGGCCTAGGGAGCCAGGGCAGGACTGACTCCGACGTCTCTAGAGAAGAGCACCGACCTGGATCTTAACCACCTTTATCAGATCGGCCAAGGGCCGGAGGGCGATGAGCTGAGCTGGGGGGATGGCTGTGGGGAGATGCCCCTTCCTTCACCGACCCCAGCTGCGTTACTGGGTCCAGCCTGCCGTCTTTACCGGCGCGAGCGGAGCTCACCCGCCCGCAGCGGTGCCAGCCAGCTCCGTAAAAGCGAAGGAGCCGGCAATGCGGGGCCGGGGGCAAGGCCTCTCTGCACGTCCCTCCACAGCCCGGGCAGATCGGCTGGCAGCACGGGTGGGCAGCTGCTGTTTGCAAGGGCCACGGCAGAGGGCAACACCGCTGGGCTCCACCCTGCACAGCTTGTTTAGGGGAGCGCAAGTCTTGAATGAGGGGAGCCTCGAGCAAGACAACTCGGTGCTCGCTGCGTGGCCTCCAGACCCTCCAGGCGGGCGCGGGATGCTCATTTTCATTGTAGCCCGGCCTCTTCCCCGCACCACAAGCTTGGGACCACTCAGCTGCATCCATGAGCTCCGGGGCACCCGAGACCGTAAAAGCCTCCCTTTAATACCATACATTGATGTGGCCCTTTAAGACCAGACCACGCCAGGCCCTTCGCCAGCTCTGGGGCACAGACTTGCCAAAGAAATGTGGGCATTGGTGCCCCCGGGCACAGAGTCTGCTTGATGCTAATGAAGCTTGCAAAGCCACACCCTCCA